ATGTCTTTTCCCTAACGACAAGGTTTCTCTCACCCAACAGTATATCGGGATAATTATTTTAATTTATAATTTTCCCAATGTAGACATCAATATAGCCTTAATTAACTTCCTCTATCTGTCTGCTCCTTCTCTCTCTCTCTCTCTCTCTGTCTCTGTCTCTCTCCCCCCCACCCCTCCTTGGCCTTTCTCTTTGCCTCTGTCTCTGTTCCTGTCTTTCTCTCTCTCTTCCATTTTTCCCTCTCTTTCTGGCTTTCTGTCACTCGTTCCAACTTTCTGAGCTGCTATCTAACCCGGGGGGGGGGGGGCCTGCAGCCTCAAGGCCACATGGCCCTCTAGGTCCTCAAGTGCAGTCCTTTGACTGAATCCAAACTTCACAGAACAAATGCTTTTATTGAGATTTTAGCCATTCTCAAGATATAGCCAACAACATAGTCCTTCCTAGAAGCTTTCCTTGCCTGATCTCAATCTGCTCTGCCCACTTTCTTTTTTTTCTTGAGTATGACATCATTATTTAATTTGTTGCCTTGCCACTCTTTTTCAGCAGTCTCAAGTATGCATGTAAGGGAAGAATTTAGTTTGTCAGATACTGGGAACATCTCTTCAACTGCATTTGACATGACAGACAAACCTTCTAATGCAATCTTGAAAATGGAAGCTATAATGTCAGTGAAATCTTAGACTGCACGTAATCCAGAATGGGGACTGCTCCCTAACCTGGCCTGATAGAAGCTTAAGACCTACTAACAATTTAGGAAAGGCACTAATGAACTAGAGTGCATTCGGGAGAAAGTGACCAGCTTGGTGAGGGGATTGAAGAAAAATCTATATAAATATAGGAAGGAACCAGGAAAGTTTAGCTTGGGAATAGGCAGTCTTTGGGAAGGAGTTAACAGTTGTCTTCAAGCACCTGAAAGGCTGTCATGTGGAAACAAGATTCTACTTGATCTTTTTGTCTCTAAGGAAGTGATAGGAAAAATGGTTAGAAATTGCACAAAGGCAAACAAGCTTGTTATAAGGAAAAACTTCCTGATAATTTAGGATTATCCAAAATGGAATGAACTGACTTGGTAGATAATGGGTTTCTCATCAACGGAGATCATTACATGGAGTTTGGATTTTTTTTTAAAGCAATTGGGGTTAAGTGACTTGCCCAGGGTCACACAGCTAGTAAGTGTTAAGTGTTTGGTCTGAGGTCGGATTTGAACTCAGGTCCTCCTGACTTTAGGGCTGGTGCTCTATCCACTGTGTCACCTAACTGCTCTTTGGATTTCTATTTTTCAGAGATACTGTAGAAAGGATACTTGTTCAGACTATAGTTGGACTGGATAACTCCTGAGCTGCCTTCCAACTTTGAGACTCTGTGATTCTATACTTCTCATTACTTACTTAACTTATAAACTTCATAGTACCCTAAAGAGTATGGGACCCATAGTGGGGGCTTAATTAATGTGAAACTAATGAAAAGTAGAGATTGGCGATTCTGTATACTTTTGTAACTATTTAATAATTTCTTTGCCCTCAAAGGCATTTCAGTAAACAGAGCCTCTTTAATTGTCTTTGGATGGGGGAAATGTATTATCTCAACTATGTGCTTATCTAGGTCAGAAAAACAGATAAAGACCAAATGGCACTCATCAGGGACCTAGAAGGAAAGAATGACATTATAGCTTCCATTTTTACACACAAAAAATCCACAGATCTAAGTCTTTTCAAATGTGGCATTTCAAATACATTTTAAAGAAAGCTGTTATCATTTTAGCTAAACATTAGGCCTCTAAACAATAAAAGTTGACATTATATTCATGTGTTCCTCACTAACATTGTTGGACTAGGGGAAAAACAAGTCTTTCAAATTTGTAAACTCCTTGAGAAATCCAGTATAGTAGGTTGGAATTTTATTTATCTTACATTTTTTTTTTTTGTATCTGTGCTTCATTGCAGTAAATACCTTGGTTTCTTTGTATTCTGATTTCTTTACCTGCCATCTCAAACCCACCTCTCACTTCATCAATGGAAAACTACAGAATTAAACTTTATTTTTTTAGCTTGTGTGTGAACTTTTCTTTTTAATAAAGGGAGGAGAAATTTTAGAATCTTACTATGGTGGATATGTAGGTTATTGGGAAATGAAATATTTGAGTTTTGAAAGGCTTCATTCCATTTAGATAACTCATAATGGTGCTAATAAAAAGTTCTCAAATATCCCTAAAGCATTAGAATAAGAGGAGAAAATAGAAATAGAAAAAAAAATCCATCAATCATCACTTGAAAGAGATCCTATGAGGAAAACCAATAGGAATATTATAGTCAAATTCTGAAGCCCCCAGCTCAAGGATAAAATATTATGAGAAACAAGAAAAAAAAAATTTAAACATAGTGGTGCCACAATTAGAATCACACAAAATTTAGCAGTGGTGACACTAAAAGGCTATAGATCTTGGAATACTGTATATTGGAGAGCAAAAGTGCTGGGGTTCCGGCTGAAAATACCCAGCAAAGCTAAGCATAATCTTGAGTGAGAAAAAAAGGATATTTAATGGATTGTCAGACTTTTAGGACTTTGTTTAAAAAAACTGAACTTAATAGAAGGTTTGAATACAAGAGCCAGGAGAAATATAAGGTACATACCAAAGATTAATTCCAAGGGATTTAATAAGGATAGACTGTTTACCTTTTATATATGTAAAATGTATGTCTAAGATTTTTGTTAGTAATTGGGTAGTTCATAAGAAAGATTGGGGTAGAACTGAGTACGATATGACTTTTAAAAGCAAACCACTTAGGAACAACTAAAAAGAGTAATTATCTTACACAAATGAGGTGTGAGAAGAACTGACACAGAGGAATTAGATATGAGAGGAAGGCTGTTAGTTCTGGAAACCTACTTTCACTGGGTATGAGTTCACAAGAGAACAATACATATATATCTAGAATAGTATAAAAGTCTTCTAAATTCAGAAAGAAATGAAATGTTAAGGGGATAGGGAGGAGGGAGAGGATAAGGGAGGGATCTCTAGAGGGGAGGGTGAAGGAATAGGTTAAAAGGGGGTATAGAAGGGTATTTAGATTAATGGGAATGGAAGGATAATGGAGCAATCTTTGGAGGGAAGGGATAGGTTAAGTAATAGGTGGGCAAGGTAGTAGGTAGAAGCAAAGTAGAGAACTCAGGAAGGAGAGGAAATAAAAGATATGCACGAACATAACAACAAAGATCAGGAGTAGAATTTGTTAGGGAATATTGTTATGTGTATATATGTATGCCTGTATATATGTATATGTGTGTGTCTGTGTGTGTGTTTGTGTGTACCTATATCTATATCTCTATATAAATATATCCTTGGCTAATTGTAGCCTTCTGGGGTGGGGAAGGAAGGGTGGAAATAAGAACAAAGTAAAAAGCGCACAGCAGAGAACAAAAGAAAACTTACAAGGCAGCAAAGAAAATATGGATAGTTTTCAACACAACACCTGGTATTACATAGGTTTTCTTGAAATGTAAATTTATTGCTATATATTTTGAATCTTCTTTTACGTTCTGCTGTTTACATGACATGCCTTTTATTCTCTTCTTATTTTGTATTTAAGTTTTAATATTTAAGTTTATAATATGTTTCTTTTTCTTTTTTTCTATTGTATATTTGTTTTAGTATTTGTGTCTAAAATTAAAAAAATGGAAAAAATAAATGAAATTGTCCAGTTCATATTGCCTTTGGGAAGTAGGGTTGAGAGAGAAAGAAGAAAAGGAGAGAAAGGAAGGAGCAAGACTGCTTGATATCTAATTTTCTTTTTTATCCTTTGATTCTCAGAGAACTGCTTAAGTTTAAAGAAAACAAAAGCTCTTTTATATTGCTCAGCCTGTTCCATGGAGTTGAAACTAGGCAGGGCAGCAGATGCAAAGTGGATGATGATGATGATGATAATAATAATAATAATGACTTACATAACACTGAAGTTTACAAAATGTTTTACATATGTTATTTCACTTGACCCTTGTAACAACCCCATGAGGTTAGGTGTTATTATCATCTCCATTTTTACAGATGAGGGAAGTCAGACAATTTGCCCAGGTTCATACTGCTAGTAAGTGTTTGAGGCGGGATTTGATCCAATACTATTCTGACAGTAAGTCCAGCACTCTATCTACTGCATTAGATAGCTACTTATCAATTAATCAATCAATTAATCACCACCTACTTATTAATTGGCTACTATGTGCTGGGAATGATCAAGCTGGAAAGGTTTGGAAGATGAACTCTGTTGCACCACTGTATCTTTGCAACTGGGCAACCAGCCTGGCTAAATATGTAGGAGCTCATCACCAAAGAGGTGGTCATTGGGTTATGAAACTTTTTGGCTACTGCAACTCTTGAAACTATCTAAGGCTTAGAGGGGTCTTAATCAACACGAGTGGAGAAAGTATTTACAATGATACAGATTAAAGATTTTTTGGGGAGAGGGGTAAGGAGGCTGAGTGAAGACTCTACATATTAAAATTCTCTGGAATTAACTCATGAGGTTTTCACACTGTCTAGTGGGATTTTCTCTTCTTGTGGGTTCAACTGTGATTATTCATATTGTGCTGATAATTCCTTTTTATTTGAGCTCTTGATGTTTAAGGGTTAAAGAAATTTGCAGAAAGTGACTACCATTTTCATGACTCCACTGAAGTACTCTTAATACATATTTCATCTCATTGTGACTTTCCAGAGGATGTCTTTCAAATAACAATAGGCAATATATTGATAAGGTGGTCTTAGCATATTGTTGACTTTTGTATTCTTTCTTTTTATGACACAGAGCAATAAGCTACCTGGTGTTCTGATGGGAAAACTGATTTGTTTGGAAACTGAATTATAAATGCTTGGACTTCATCATCCAAACCTTATCCATCCTGCCTAAAGCAAAATAGAATTAAAGGCTGACCTTGGAAGTAGTCCTTGGAAGAACTTCATCAGAAAGCAATTTAAAATAAACTCAAAGGTTGATTACCTAAGACTTACCATCTCATGTCTGTACAAATGGCTTGGGAATCTTATGAAAACAGACTTCATTGCATGATTTCTGGTCTTTCCTGCTTTTAGTTGGGCCAGAAATCCTTGTCCATTTCCCTTTCATGGAATCTTGGCAACTTCAATTCCAGTTTCAGACAAAATCAGAAAGTGCAAGAGGAGGTGACACTGAATAGTGATTAAAAAAAAAGAAGAATGGTCATTATGCCTGATACTACAACGTGGGCTGGTTTAGATTTGAGACTCAAGATTTAATTTGATGCTTCTTTTTAAAAATCTGAATCCTTCCTTCCTTCCTTCCTTCCTTCCTTCCTTCCTTCTCTCTTCTTTCTCTCCTTTCCTCTCTTTCTATCTCTCTGTCTCTCTTTCTTTTTTCTTCCTTCTGTCTTTGTTTTTTTCTTTATTTCTTTTTCTTCCTTTTATCTTTGTTGTCTTTCTTTCTCCCTCCCTCTGAAGCACCCTCCCTTCCTTCCTTCTTTCTTCCTTCCTTTCCTCATTTCTTCTTTACTTCATTCCTTTTTTCTTTTTCTTCCTTTTATCTTTGTTCTCTTTCTTTCTCCCTCCCTCTTTTCTTCCTTCCTTCCTTCCTTCCTTTCTTTCTTTCTTTCTTTCTTTCTTTCTTTCTTTCTTTCTTTCTTTCTTTCTTTCTTT